TTGGGGCCGAGTCGACGAAAGCGGGAGGGGAAGTGAGGCTTGACTCCCAAGTTATTCCTAAGAGGAGTAGTTTCAAATACCTTGGGTCAGTTATTCAGGGGGTCGGGGAGATCGAAAAGGATGTCACACACCGTATAGGGGTGGGGTGGATGAAGTGGAGGTTAGCGTCGGGAGTCCTGTGTGACAAGAATGTACCACTGTTACTAAAAGGTAAGTTTTATAGAGCAGTGGTTAGGCCTGCCATGTTATATGGAACTGAATGTTGGCCGGTAAAGAACTCACACATCCAGAAGATGAAAGTAGCAGAGATGAGGATGTTGAGGTAGATGTGCGGGCATACAAGAATAGATAAGATTAGGAATGAAGATATTCGAGAGAAGGTGGGCGTGGCCCCCATGGAGGACAAGATGCGGGAAGCAAGACTCAGATGGTTCGGGCACATTCAGAGGAGGAGCACTGATGCACCAGTGAGGAGGTATGAACGACTGTTGTGGTGGGCACGAGGAGAGGTAGAGGGAGACCTAAGAAGTATTGGGGCGAGGTGATCAGGCAGGACATGGCACAACTTAGGATTACTGAGGACATGGCCCTTGACAGGGAATTGTGGAGGTCGAGCATTAAGGTTGTAGGTTAGGGGAAGTTGTGAATATTTCTACAGTGCACTAGAGTGAGACTAGCCAGTTAGGAGTTAGTCTTAGGATGCTACTGGTCAGCTATTAATGCAGGGCTTTATCTGCTGGATAATATTATACCTTCCATCTTTTTCGTATTTCCTATATTTCTAATATTGCTGTTATTTTGTTATTTTATGGTATGTTATTTTATTATGAGTCTATTGATAGTACTAATATATCGTCTCTTGTTGCTTTCTTGAGCCGAGGGTCTCCTGGAAACAACCTCTCTGCCCCTCGGGGTAGGGGTAAGTTCTGCGTACATATTACCCTCCCCAAACCACACTTGTGGGATTATATTGGGTCGTTGTTGTTGTGATCATCGATTATTGACAATTTTTATGATTAGTCAAGGAAGTTATATCTTCCGTTTTGGTAAAAAAAACATTTACTTGGAAAATATTATTGTCAAACAGCAAAAAATGGTTTATTGTTTTTAAAAAAAATATGTTCTTTCTTACCAAACACACGTGTCTAGAATTATCATGCTTAATCAAAAATTCTTATATATATACGGTGTACATCAAGCTTGCATAGCATTTAAATTTGCAAGAGCAAAACTTCAGCTGATTATGAGAGGTGAGTTTGGCTAGTTGTATTATATTTTATATAATCTCAATTTTATGTATAGAACTCTATCCCGTCAAATTAATAAATGAGTTTTTGCATTTTCATACTACTTTAGTTTAGTAGTTGTTCCCCTATTGAAATCTCTATTACAAAAGGAATCACAATGACAACTTTTGACATATGAATCTCAAACCCATGTAGTACTTACTATTTTTATTTGGGTGAAAAAATAATTATGAACTCTATCTTTCGCTAATAGTGTGTGTAAAAATATATATACACACACTCATATTCAAGGGCAAGAACAACTTAATGTACAAAGCATCACACATTGACGTAGAATTCGGGAAAGAATGATATCTCAAGCGATATGATATAGATAACGTGCGCTAATATAACTCATATTAGATGTTAAAATATCCACAAGGGAAAAAGTCACCAAACAACTTGAAGCCACTACTTGTAAAGTCAATTCCCATGCATAAATGAAAAACTACTTGAAGCCACTACTTGTAAACTCTATCTTCTGTAGGCTACAATTTTTGTAGTAATTGAAAAAACAAACGTGTTCAAGCGACTGAAACAAAAATTCAAAATCCAACAACCAACCTTGGATTTCTTTTCTTTTAAATGTTCCTTTACCTAGGGGCAAAGCTAGAAAGTAATATACGGTCCAGCCGAATTCGATATTTTATATTAAAAAATTCACTAAATATGTACACTCGATATCGTTATCCTAAAATTTAGAAATCATAAAGTTGAAATACTCGCTCCGTTACTTTGGGTTTCAAAGACTGAAAATTTGCAAGGAGGAGAAAGAAATAAAGGAAACAAAGGGAACCGCGTAGCAGCAGGAAAACGATCTCATTTATGCAAAGTGCAAACTCTGATTTATTTAATTTATAGGGAAAATAAAAAACATAAATTGCAAAAATGGAATCTAATCCTATATTCAATTACCTTGATACAAGATTTCAAACCGCGACCTGGAGATAGGGCTGTTGAACTACTGTACTGCTTTCAATAAATGAACTTTATTCAATAAAAAAAATTAGATATACAAGAGACGTTTTTTCTAGATGTTTTGTCCAATTTTTCACTTAGACAACCAAAACTTTCTATTTTTGGGGCCCTTTCATAGAGGCAAATTCATTCAGTCTAATATTTAATAAAAATGTGCCAACTCCTGATGGAAACTGTGTCTAAATGTTCTTCCTTTTCTCCATTGACGTACAATTGATATGGGTTACACAGTGATAAGGGCACAAGATACGCAATAAAATAAAATAAAAACAGCTCGGTGCACGAAGCATCCCACATTCATGCAAGATCGGGGGAAGGGCCGCACCCTAAGGGGGTATGATGTAGACAGTCTACCCTAATGCAAGCATCAGTGGCTTATTTTACGGCTCGAACCCATGACCTATAGATTATACGGAACAACATTACCATTACACCACGGACACCTCCAAATCAGACAGGCAGCCGCTCAGCCTCCTTTTTAGGATGTTCAGGTACTTCGGGAGCACAATATATCATGTATTTATAGAAGCATAAACTAACGCAGAAGCTCAAAGAACTAACAATTCTCCGTCCACCATGTAAACAAGAACTTGCATTACTAATTCCAGCAATAAGTCTTTTTCCACGATATCATATGATACGTGCATGAAGTGACCAAACACATAAGAAATATGTGGTGCAACCTAGTAATAGAGCGAGATATCCATAACTGCTGCAGTCATCTCTTGGGAGGGTGGAATAACTAATCTCGGGATAATTAATTAATCCTGAGAAAACTTCTTTCCAACCAAACAATCCCTCATAGTAATAGTACGGTAGTATGTTGGCATGAGTCACTTATGGTAATAGCCATAATTAAGCGGTAACTTTTTAATTTAATTAGTAGACATTCCTTTTAATTGCCGGGTAAGAATAGCCATAATTAACGTGTAATTCTTTTATTATTATTTGAAGTCATTCCTTTCATTGCCAGGGTAGGAATAGCCATAGTTGACGTGTAATTTTTATTTTGTAGTCATTCCTTTCATTGCCCGGGTAGGTCCGTCGGAATAGTCATAAGCCCAATATTAAGTTATTAACGTGTAATTCCTTTTTTTATTTTTTTATTTTTTTTTATTTTGTAGTCATTCCTTTCATTGCCCGTGCAGGAATAGCCATAATGTGATAATCCGCCGTGTCATCATGCCATATAGGCGCCATTTGGCATACATTAATGTCATGCAGAAGCTTACATAAGAAGAAGGCTAGCATTTGTGAGAAGATTCTAGAGAGGTATGGACATTTCCTTAGGAAGAACCTAGNCATTTGGCATATATTAATGCCATGTGGAAGCTTACATAAGAAGAAGGCTAGCATTTGTGAGAAGATTCTAGAGAGGTATGGACATTTCCTTAGGAAGAACCTAGATCCTTATGGATTTGCTAGGAAAGTCCTTGGAATCTTCTAGGCCTGTAGAGAATTCTAAAAAAAGCCCTTATCTTGTAAATATCAAGGACTTGTGCAATAATTAATATTTACACACTAGCCCCTAGGAAATTAGTATATAAAGGGTCATTCATTTGTAATTCACCAAGCAAACAATTCAAGTTCTCTCTAATACAAAGCTTCCTTTAACAATTCTCTTGTATTCTTTCTTCCATTCTCTTAGCGATCTTGAGTGTCGTAAGGCTGACTTGACATAGCAAGAACGTGAGCAAATTGTGCAAGATCGTGAGCGAGTCGTCAAGTGCCGCACGTGTACTTAGTTAACAACTAAGGACGTGACAACGTGGTATCAGAGCGAAGGTTTCAACTAAGGGAATGGCGAACGACAGAGAAATTAACACTGCCAATATCCAAGCCAACGTCATCCAGGATGCTGCTGGCAAGATCGGTCGTAGCAAAAAGAGGAATTCCACCAACAAGAGCCAGGAGGTGCCACCTGAGGTTGTGTCAAAAGAAGGGCTTACATTCCAAGAACCATCTGCCACTGAGGCAAGCGAGGATGAAGCGGAGGTCCTTCTAAAGGACGTCTCACTCGGTAAAGAGTGGGTTATGAAGATGAACGCGGGGATGGACACCGTGGAGATCTTTGGCCAACGCTTGGGGAAGGTGGAAGGCACCCTTAACGTTCTTGATGGGCACACTCTTGAAGAGATTGAGAGTATCCGAAATGACTTGGAGGGACATACACAGATTGAGATGGAACTAAGGCAAACCATCATTGCCTTAGAGTGCAGACTCATGGAGGCTTTGAAGACTATCGATGCTACGAAGGCAAAGATAGAGTCACTCGAGGAGCATGTTAATGCTGGTGTGACCGAGGTAGCCAGTAATGCTGTGGTGACGAGGGAGGCCAAGATCGAGGCTCCCAAACCCCCGGTGTTCAAAGGTGTTCGTGATGCACAAGAAGTGGAAAACTTCCTTTGGCACTTGGAGAACTACTTCAGGCACGGTAAAGTGAGGGACGACGAGGCCAAGATCAATACTGCGGTATTGTACCTCTCAGAGACTGCCATGCTATGGTGGAGAAGGAAGATGGCCGACGTGGATTAAGGTCTATGTACTATTACCACATGGGATCAGTTCAAAGCGGAGTTCAAGCGACAGTTTTTTCCAAACAATGTCTTGTATGAGGCAAGACGTAAGCTTAGGGAATTAAAGCAAACAGGGAGCATACGTAACTATGTCAAGGAATTCAATACCCTTATGCTTCAAATTCCCAACCTGACCAATGATGACTTGTTGTTCCACTTCATGGACGGGTTGCAAAATTGCGCTAAGAAAGAGTTGCAACACCGACAAGTTACTGATATAGACCAAGCCATAGTGGAGGCCGAATCATTGATGGACTTCAGGCATGACAAGCACGACAAAGGCAATGGCAATGAGTCAAAGGTTAACAATGTCAAAGGTGGGGGAGACCGTGGCAAAGGCAAGGAGATACAACAACAATACTCCAAGACTCAAGATTTCAAAAAGTCGAGTGGCCATCAGGGCTACGCCGAGAAGAAGGCACAGGTCGAGAAAAAGGGATGCTATATATGCGGAGGCCCACATGGCTTCAGGAATTGTCCTGACCTCAAGAGCCTCAGTGCCATGGTACATGAGCAGAAGGAGCAGCCACAAGGAGAGAGTCCGGGAACCACACAGTTGGGTATGATCGGATTATGTGGTGCTGTCACGAAGCAAGCTATCCAACCTACCGAGAATGACAATCAGTACGTGGATCTCACCATCAATAACAAGCCCGCTCGTGCAATGGTGGACACTGGAGCAACTCATAATTTTGTGACTAAGGTTGCCGCAAAGAGACTGGAATTGAAGCTTGCTCCAACCAACTCTCGCGTCAAGACCGTGAATGCCGAGATACAGATTGCTCGTGGGGTAGCTAATGGAGTTGGTGTCAAATTGGGAACTTGGAAAGGTATGACAAACTTTACCGTAACCGCTATGGATATCTTTGATATCATATTGGGGAAAGAGTTCTTTAGACATTGTCATACTTTAATCGACCCCTACCTCCAACGTCTCTTGGTTACGGAGCGAGAAGGAGCTTGCATGGTACCTACAGTGACTATGCCACACAGACAGATCCAAGCACAACTCTCAGCTATGCAGGTTGTCAAGGGGATCAAGAAGGGGGAGCCCACGTTCGTGGCAACCATTGCAAGTCTAGAGGAAGATAAGAATTTTCAAGAGATAGTGCCGCCTTGCATAGAGAAGTTGATTGATGATAACAAAGATGTCATGCCCGAGGAGTTGGCTAAGCACTTGCCGCCTAGGCGAGAGGTGGATCACAAGATTGAGTTGGAGCCAGGGGCTAAACCACCTGCATTTGCCCTATATCGTATGGCACCGCCCGAGCTGGAGGAGCTCAAGAAGCAATTGAAAGAGTTGTTGGATGCTAGTCACATTCACCCATCAAAGGCACCTTTCGGCGCACCAGTATTGTTCCAGAGGAAGAAGGATGGATCGTTGTGCTTGTGCATAGACTACCGAGCACTTAATAAGGTTACAGTAAAGAATAAGTACCTGACCCCACTCATTGCTGATTTGTTCGATAGACTTGGGCAAGCCAAGTACTTTACCAAGGTGGATCTTCGAAAGGGCTACTATCAGGTTCACATTGCAGAAGGGGATGAGCCAAAGACAGCATGTGTGACGAGATATAGAGCCTTTAAGTGTTTGGTGATGCCCTTCGGCTTAACCAATGCACCGGCCACATTTTGCACCCTTATGAACAAGATCTCCCATCCCTACCTTGATCAGTTCGTGGTAGTCTACCTAGACGACATAGTCATCTGCAGCAACACCTTGGAGGAGCACATGGAGCACTTAAGGAAGGTTTTCCAAGTCTTGCAATAGAACGAGCTATACATCAAGAGGGAGAAATGTGAGTTTGCGCAATCAAATGTGCACTTCTTGGGCCATGCCATTAGCAATGGCGAGCTACGCATGGACGATGCTAACGTACATGTTATCCAAGAGTGGGAGGCACCCATAAAGGTAACTGAGTTGAGATCCTTCCTTGGCCTTGTTAACTACTATCGTCGGTTCATCAGTGGATACTCAGCAAAGGCCACACCATTGACTGAGTTGCTAAAGAAGAACAGACCATGGGTTTGGACGGAGCATTGTCAAAAGGCGTTTGAAGGCCTTAAGACAGCTGTAACAGAGGGGCCAGTCTTGGCGTTACCTGACTTTGCCAAGACATTTGAGGTGCACACAGATGCCTCAGACTTTGCCATTGGGGGTGTCCTGATGCAGGATAAGCATCCCACAACATTTGAGAGCCGCAAGTTAAATGAGACGGAGCGGCGTTACACGGTGCAAGAGAAGGAAATGACTGCCATTGTGCAGTGACTTCGTACATGGAGACATTATCTGCTCGGGTCGAGGTTCGTGGTCAAGACTGATAATGTGGCTACTAGCTACTTTCAGACACAGAAGAAGCTTACACCAAAGCAGGCTAGGTGGCAGGATTTCTTAGCCGAGTTTGATTATGCGCTGGAGTATAAGCCGGGAAAAGGTAATGTTGTAGCCGATGCCTT